TGTCTTCTTTAAAAAAACTAATGTCCGTCTCGGAATTAAACCGCAATAAGTCATGCACTTCTCAATTTCAATTTCAAAGTACCATTCGATATAACCAAGCTTCTAGAAGATGACAATCTTGCTTTTGCACCAGCTTTGATCCACCTCAAGTTCCAAGCCAAAAACTAAAGAGATTCAACTGCCCTAAAAATCGAGAAAATTCGTAACATAGTCCATAAAAATCCTACAAAAATTCTAACTTGCTCGGGTAAACACTGTTCACAAAAGACATTTATCTAGGTTAATGCCGTAGTTTTTCATCTGACAGAAATCAAAAAAAGCGCAAATCTTCTTTTGCCAAAGTGATGCTGTGCTGTCTCCACATAAGCAGTTGTACACTGCAAGCTTGTATAAGTATAAACATAAGTTCTCAGCTCTTTACAAGCTTCAGTTTTCGAGAAGTAGCGAATATAGCTTTCCTTAGTTGGGTGATCTATACTAAAATCTGAATTGTTCGAAAACCAGAGCTTGTAGAGAGCTGAGAATTTATGTTTGTACTTCCACATGTTGGTAGTATAAAATCACATATGTGTGTACAGCACAGCATCACTTTGGCAAAAGTATGAAAAACTTCGTTTTTCAATTTCTAACCGAGAAAAAAATACGGCAATGGCGTATATAGATGTCTTCCTCGAATGCTGTTTATGTGAGCAAGTTAGAATTTTTCTAGGTTTCTTATGGACTGAGAATTTTTCTTAATTTTTCAGGCAATTGAATCTTTTAGTTTCTGGCTTGAGATTCGAGGTGGACCAAAGCCGGTGCAAAGCCAAAATTGCCATCTTATAAAGCTTGCTTCGCTCTATCGAATAGTAATATGCAACCATCTAAAAATGAGAAGTGTATAACTTTTTCGTTTCAAATTCAAAACGACATTAATCTCCGAACAATCTAATAGCTACTAAAAGTGGCTTGCTTCTAAATTTCATTGTCGCAAGTGGCGCAGAAGAAGTGTATAGTTTAAAATAATTTTTCGTCACATTTTGAATTCTGGGTCAGGAGGATTGTTTTGCAGCTGATGCGAGTAAAAATTTTGTTTGTCCAAATAATGACTACAAACACCACATACAGATACTATAGTGCAGTTTCAGTGGCAAGTTCATTCAAATCGTTAGTTCCATGAGACGGTTGAGTGCAAGATCTTTTGCGCGCAAAGGCACATAAATGTCGATCGTTGGCAGAATCGGCTTATACGAGGGTCATACGGTGCAGCTCAAATTTAACTATACTTAAATCTGATAGTCATAAAGCGTATGTATCTAATAAAACTCAATTGAAACGCTCAGTCATGGAAATGATTCCCTATATGGGGGCCTTTTATACTCCGCACAAAAGCGCGCCCAAAACCTCTCAAAAAGCGCCCAAAAGCACTGGAACGCCACTTTTAGCAAACCTTTTTAGAAGCACCATTCAAAGGCAGCGTCCAAGCAAGTCGACACATGGGGATCTCACGTGGATAGTAATTTTGGGGCCCTAACTAAGCCACTGCCCAACCGGCAGCTCTGTGCTCTAACGGCTGAGAATTTCCCTCGAAGCTGGTCCCCGCAATCGTATTTCGCATGGTCATGGCGCAAAGCGTGGATTCTGGCGCGAAAATGCCCTAAATCCATGCGAACACGATCGCGGGGCCCACTTTCTAAGGGAATATCTCAGCCATTCGAGCACTAGCTGCGCTGCCGCTTGGGCGGTGCCTTAGTTAGGGCCCCAAAAGTACTTTCTACATAAAATCCGCATAGGTCCAGATCTGCCTGGACGCTGCCTTCAACGCTACAGCTAATTGTGAATGCGGAAGAGGAACTCGTTATCTTTTGAAAATGTTAGTTAGGAACTATGATGATGACATCAAGCCAGAGTTCAACTAATTTCTGGGTTATCTCAGCGCTGTTGATTCGCAAAGTTATCAAGTGCGAGCAACGATTATGAACTATGCATCAAAGTGATTTTTACAGGTAGCTACTCTCTTAACGGTCGAAAGCCTATCAACTCAAAAACGAAAATATACATGCACATAGCGTGGTGAAAGTTTAGAAAGCCAGAACAGTTCTATGGTGAAGCTTTCCAACACTGAGTGTGGTCTGAATATGTGTCATGATGATTGTGAATGAACGCTTAGTTGTTCTAGTATCAACATGTTTCCAAACTAACGCTTCAGCGCCAAAAATCGAGCTTGTGAAAGAAGCATTCTGGTGCTCAGGCGCTTTTCGGCCCTCCTGGGAGCTTTTCATCGATATGACGGGTGTCTTACAATGCTTTCCTGCTAAAACACGGCAACTGGACCTATAGTATGTAAGTCTGTACTCATTTGGCAATTAAAAGGGACACTAACAGCGAAAAACTTCATGCACCGCTAATACGTCATGGAATATCCTGAATAAGAGTCAATGAGTATTCAGCTGACCACTAGGTAGATTTTAACCTTAAGGTAGATTTGTGAATAGCAAAGTTACCTTGAGATTAAATTCTACCTTGAGGGATGCTCTCAAGGTAGATTTTAAATTCAAGGTTCGTTGATGAATACGGCCACAGGAAGTCAGCAGGTAGACGACCACTTTACTCATACCATTTTTTAGGATATTTCAAAAAGTCATACGATTGAGCCTGTCTGGACCACTTATAGCAATCCTTTCAATGAAGTCTTTAGATAACAATATGTTTAGTAGAAGGTTGGCAAATCTTAACTAATTGCTTAGATGCTCCACCGTTGTAGAGTTCTGCGTTGCGTTCTGATAACAGAGTAGTTAGAAAATCCCCTCTCCACCTCTGCCGTGCTAGTCGGAATGGGAACTAGCTTTGCTAGTAAGTCCATCAGATTTTTGCGGTAAATAATGGGGAGAAAGCCAGATCGCATATGCTTTCGCAACACGGGAAGGAAATATTGCATACTTTTTTGGGCCTTGTCGAACACTGGCTTCACCTCCTCTGGCATACGTCTTATTAGCTGACAAGAAAGCTGCTCAACTTCTTCTTCAACAGCATCTGCGGAATAGCCGAAAAAAGTAGATAATATGCTGCGCGTTGGTTTTTTTTTTCAATATCATAGGTCATAATGTCACAAGGCGAGATACTTCCAGCAGCATAAAGCACAGAGTTAAGTTCGTACTCCAGTCGAGATCTAAGAGCAGTAGCTATGCTTTGTACTAACACCTTCCTTTTGTTCATATCCATGTTCGTGAATTTAGCAGCCTTGAAATCTTCAGCAATCTGAAGATCAGCAATGGACTTCTTGGACATTTCCTCCTTGAAACTAGACAATCTGCTTGGATTTCTGATGTACGAAATAGAGAGTTTCGCTCAATTGTCAACTCTGTATCAATGTTTACAACATTTTCGTCGGTGTAAGATTCTCCTTCTACCTCGCTGTTGAACTTGAACACATGCGAGTCATCTGCGATTTTGTAAAGTATTCTGCCTGCGGTTCCTTCTTCAAACTGCCAACCTTTCCAAAACATTGAAGGATATTTTAATAACATGTTGTTCTTCTGAATGCCTTGAAGTTTTTGATCCATTGAAACCAACCATTCTCTACAATGAAGTGAGTCTAGAGCGTTTTCACGAAAGTGACCTTCTTCAGCACTAGGTTTACAGATTATATTGTAGATTCCAGAAATGGGCGGATTTTTGTGTGAAGGTGTGGAAATTCACCAATCTCCTATAGTTTTTTGAGTATGTGCTGATAATGATGGCACAACTGTCAATCAAAAGCGCATTTTTTACTAAAAAAAACTAAACATATAACAACGATAAGCGCGCTCAAATAGACCCGTTCGCTCTGTTCCCGTCAGTGCTGATAACGATGTCAATTCACATCACATTTTTTATTATTAGCTTGCTCCACCTCGCTCTTACAATGTGTTAGCTTTTATGGGTCGCCGGAGCAAGTGCTTTTTACAGCCGGGAAGCAAAGAAGCCCTAACATGCTGTATACCATTCGAAAGCTGAGATCATGGAGAATCGAAATTGACCGTCGACTTTTTTCTAGGTCTTCTGTGTCGCGAGATATGAGGAATTTTATGTACTTCAAAAATCAACTGTTTTTGTCTCCTCACTTACCGTCGCAATATACCCAAAAGAGTTGTAGCTTTGAACAAAGAAGTGTTGATTATATTACTAAAATAAGATTGATTAATTTTCATGGAACTGTAACGCTCAGGGACGTAATTATGAATGCTCGGAAAGAGTTTGTGCTTGTGTAGATGCTTTTTTTCTATAAATGAATAATATGAATAAACATAAATACCGTTTCTTTTGTAATATGAGTGCACTTGTTGTTTGAGATACTTAGTCTGCAAAACCTTTTGATAACGATTTTTATTTTATATTCTCAGAGTACAATACCAAGCTCAGCCCAGGTGAAGGGAGTCATCCGGAGTTTGGCCTCAAAGTGAAGGGAGTAAGATCCATCACTCCCCCTATCGCATCTATGCTTCGAAGGCAGTGGCTCGGGAAAATAGCAACTGCGCGCTTTTGTTCCTCCTTGGCCTTCTGCATGCGTTTAGACCAGAGCTGTGCTTGAAAAACAAAAGGGGTTTTTATGGCGTTTTCCGGCCTTGGAGATTGCTGAGAGGGCTGGAGCGGAGAATCCCGCCAAGATGGCTGCAGGAGACTGTAACACCACTTATTGTGGCGGCAGTTGGTGATGGTCCAGGCGGCCAATCGTACTCGGCTGCGGGAATATCCGCTCTGGCCTCCTCAGCAAATCTCCAAGGCCAGAGGACGCCATAAATAGCACTTTTTCGACTTTTCAAGCACAGCTCTGCTCTAAACCATCCAGAAGGCCAAGGAGGAACAAAAAGTGCGCAGTTGAATATTCCCGAGCCACTGCCTTTAGCAGCCCTGTGGAAAGGCATTATTGAGCGATTGTCATCAAATAGAAGAAGCAAGAAAAAATTCGAATTTGCTACTTCTGCATTCCAACTCGTAACGCTTCACTACATTTTCTGATAAGACAAGCGAAACTTTCCGATTCTGGATTGCTTTCGTAGAGAACGAATCTCTTTTGGCAATAACCACCGTCGAAACGCGGGCCTTCGGACATACATCCGACGGCCTGAAAACCACTGACCAGTGGCAGCTCATGTTTGCCTGGCGCTCCCTTCAGATGTTATGATACAAGCTACCATATTCTGCCTTCTAAGATTCCAAACTTCAAGCCCCACAGAAGCATGCAACCAATAACTCAACAGACATAAAAATCTATGTAATGACAATGAAAATAAATGGTAAAGTAATAAGCTCAAGAACTGGGAGAAATGTCATACACAGACCAGTAACATGACTAGGCAATATGATGAACTTTACAAGTCAATCTTCCATAAACGCTTGTATAATATAGATACATAGCCGTATCGATCTTGTAACCGTCAAATATTGTAAAAAGCTAATACGTGCTCTATCAAAGCCCTCAAAAGAAATTATAACACTGTATTGCTTCGCCGTTTTAGATCGTCCGGGTCGGATAGCAAATTGAACAGTAGCTCACCAAGTTTATCGACTTCCCGAAGATTTTGTTTCTGAATGGAATTAGTTACCGCGTATACTGTGAAAACAGTAGCTTTTGAGCTGAAAACATCATCTAAGATGAACTGCGTAGCTATTGGTACTCAGGCGGCGGTAATGCATAGCTGAATGCGCTGCCTGAGTACAGTGCTACGCACCTCATTTTAGATAATGCGAAGGCGGTCAGTAGCTCGCTTGCCGTCTGAAAGTTCCTGCAGTGAAGTTTTCGAGCAAACCTCGCACCTCATCGCACTGAGGTGCCAAGGCTGCTTTGGAATTAGCACAGTCTGAATACCTATATTATCCCGAACTGAAGAATTTCATTACAATTTGAATTCAAAGTTCAGTAGTGAAATTAGTCCAACTAGGGTAAAAATAACTGTAATTTATTGAGGTTATGCAAAACGCCAAAATACGCAGAATTGAGCTCTTCTCAATGATAATAGTCACAAAATTCACTTCCATGGAATCTGAATGAGTATGCAGGGCAATTTTCTGCAGGTCTTTCTTTCCAGGAAATCACATCGTAGGAGAACGGAAGAGAGATTATGTTAACACGTTGACGACGAGTTTTTTTCTTGAATTAATGGGGTGTGGCACAACCCCTATAAAGCTGTGGCCGCCACAGCTTTCTAGGGATTCTGCCACACCCTATTAACTTGCCTCCAAAAAGAATTTTAGCGAATAATGATAGCCTGAGTTTTGTAGCTTTCATAGGAGTAATTTGGGCCTGATTTATCTGCTTTACTCTGAGTAAAAGCTGGTAATAGCGCAGTCCTTGGGAGCGAAAATGGGACAAAGGAGATGTTGGCCCGCTTCTAATTCCATAGTTTGGTGGTTATTTGAAGCACGGTTCATGGTATGGGTAAAAGGGAGTCTTTGTATTGAGTGCAAAGAGAGTTAGCTAATTCTAATTCACTTTTGAATTATAGCTAATCATTTTTGGAAATGATTACTTCATTTAAGTGGTCCAACATTGGGAATCCTCCGAATTTCTACACTTGGCCCATGGTGGTTATTTGACATAATAATTACGAATATGTGCCTTATCATGCATGGAGAGCCTTTATGTCATGCCTACGGAAGAAAAGATGGGGGGGGGGGGGGTATTGAGAAAGAAGATAGATGGGGGAGGTCGTATACGACGCTTTTGTGCCACACCTCCTGCTGACCCTAGTGATTGACTTTGCACTTCAATAATTGAAAAATCATCAAAAATGAAAATGCTCTCATAGATATTGGTTGAAGGAGAATAATATGTTCTAACATCTATCAAAACTGGAGCATCTAATGAGTTCTCTTTCTTAAGAAATCTGTAGTGATTCTCCAAGCGTCCCATTATTTTTCGACGCCCTAATACTTTTGCCTTTCAACTTCATCCCCCCAGCTAGCTCTACACCACCTCTCCCTATTCCCGTTTTCAGAGCTCTACATACCAGCCACATTAGAGTTGTCCAAATCATATCCATGAGCTTGCTGTCGTCGATTTGATCGATACGCTCTCTGATGCCCTGCAAGCCGAATGTTAGGACGCAAAGTAATGTCTCTTTAAGCATAACCTCCTCACTTTTGGGCTTATACGAATGAATGGTATGTTATATGCCTGACAGCGCTCTTCAGCCATCTCGACAGCTAAGAGATCTTGTCCGACAACCTCAAATAAGTAACTTTCACAAAAAAGTGCATATTAAAATACAATGTAAGGCTGTTACCTGTTCAAGGATGAGAGTGCTCAGATGAGCCATACTTCTTGCCTTTGCTCTCAAAGTAGTCCCACTTTTATACTTTCGTTCTAATTGGGCTGGTTCACCAGTTCCTATTGATACCACACCCGCTAAGTGGATCCGGTTATTATTCTTATGGAATGAGTCGACTTCCTAAAAATGCTGCAACCTAAATCTTATAAAAAATCTTTATGAAAGTATCGTTTGGATAGCTGCAAATGGTTTTATGTACGTCAATATAGACACACACGGGACCAAAATTTCAAGGTTGCGAATTTCGCCAAAATTCGGTCTGTGAGGTTTATTCGACATGCTGATTATGAATGTCACATTCTTTTTTTTCACAAAAACGTCATTCGGTTGGACTACGGTGGGTATAGAGTAGGGGGTCCCAATCACGAATTTGGCTGAATTTTGGTGCAGGGGGGTTTTCTGACGTGCTGATTACGAATATCATACTCTTTCTGCATTTCGGGGCCTCTTTATGAAGTTAACTCAAAGTTAAGTCAAATCGATAACACGCGGCACCAAAGTCTGATAAGTCAAAGCTAATTGCGTTTTAAGGTTGTTTAGGTTTTATGGCTCATTTTGAAATCGTGACGACGAGTTGACTGCGGTCTTTGCGCACACAGGAGCATAATACACCCATACAAACAGGCGACAACTCAACGCTCAGCTCAGTCACTTCCATTATCTGAATACTGTCAAATATAAGCAGAAAAACTATTCGTGTAGAGATAGAAACGGTCGCGCCATGGTCACGATTTTTCGGATGCCCTAAACTTGTGTGTGTGTGTGTGTGTGTGTGTGTGTGTGTGTGTGTGTGTGTGTGTGTGTGTGTGTGTGTGTGTGTGTGTGTGTGTGTGCGTGTGTGTGTGTGTGTGTGTGTGTGTGTGTGTGTGTGTGTGTGTGTGTGTGTGTGTGTGTGTGTGTGTGTGTGTGTGTGTGTGTGTGTGTGTGTGTGTGTGTGTGTGTGTGTGTGTGTGTGTGTGTGTGTGTGTGTGTGTGTGTGTGTGTGTGTGTGTGTGTGTGTGTGTGTGTGTGTGTCCAAAACTTTTTTGTTGAAAACAATGCCAAAAATACGGTCGTCCATGATAGGCTTTCTAATTGGCATTACTTTCTCAGTTTGCACTGCTAAGGCAGTGTCCAGATTATTGCATGTTTAGAATGTGTTTCAGCGGTCATGGTTTTCATGTTTCTCCAACTTATGGATCAATCTACACCAACTTGCTATACTGCAAATCTCAATAGTGACAGTTCAGATGATACAGCGAAATAAGAACAATTGTATAGAGGTATTCCCACTCACCTTAAAGAGTATATTCAGCGGATAGTTTGCTACAAAAGACCCATCGACAAACCTTTTGCCTTGATATTCAAACGGTTCGAAATATGTTGGCGCAGCACTAAATGAACAACCTTAATGGAACGAATTAAGCGATGTGAGATCAGATACAAACCTGCTAGCTCGTGCGGCTTCTTTGAACATCACGTCTTGTTCATCGTCCAGACGTGCGCCAAACGGCCGCTTAAACGAGTAATTTCTGTAAATCGATAAAATAATCATTTCAGCAGAAATGTGATAGACATTACTACCTAAAAATATGTAAACGAGCTGGTGCCATAGAGATATCTAAAGCAGGCACCGTGAGTCGTCGATTACATTTATGGAATGTCTCAGTGGGAAAGCAGTCCGACAACACTTTTTCGATATTGCGAGTTTGTATGGTAACCTGGATAATGCGATTTATATGCAGAAATAAAGTACAGACGAACAGAACCTGATCGCCAAACAGTCGTGACATCGTAGAACCTTCTAGAAAAATTTGTCGCTTCATGTTCCAGTACAAGAAGAAGCATTCGCTAAGTGTTCTACCATTTGCAGTTGATAGCGCAAGCATGGATCCAGTGCTTGAAAAGCATCTTATATATAAAGCTGGATGTCTGTTTGTATGTTGTCTGTATGTATGTCTGTATGTACGTATGTTCCGAATACAAAATTCCATTTCTGAACCGATCGGGACCAACTTGGCACACATACACTTCGGGCCCCGGCGGGTGTCACAGACCACTTTTCGTTATCGATCGATGTCGATTTTATCGATTTTTTGCAAAATTTGAGCTGCGGGGCTGGGAGTTGGCACAGAGGGTAATCGAGATCAGCATGCTCGATTACACCCCTCTGCCAAATTCCAGCCCCGCAGCTCAAATTTTGCAAAAAATCGATAAAATCGATAAAAATAATGCACGATTTTAAAAACTAATATTGTATTCGGAATCTCCCCATGCTCACTTACCCCCCTGTGCCGACTCCCAGCCCCGTAGCTCAAATTTTGCAAAAAATCGATAAAATCGATATCGATCGATACGAAAAGTAGCCTATGACACCCGCCGGGGCCCGAAGTGTATGTGTGCCAAGTTGGTCCGGATCGGTTAAGAAATGGAATTTTCTGTTCGGAACATACGGCAAAGCCGGGTAAGCCAGCTAGTACCATATATAGACTAGTTGAACTGACATTCACTATAGTGCACCTAGTGTAGACAAACATAGTGAGGAGAAAACTGCCATTCTTGCAGTATTGACAACGCTTACATGTAAAAAGTGGTAGTACAGCGCCTATCTCTTAATTCTGCGCTCCGAGATCATTCTACGTAACGCACTGAGCCCGCAGAGGCATTTTACTAACCTTTAAACTGACTAGACTGCAGGGCCGGTAGTGATCATCCCACCTCGCTGCCGTTTCGTTCGCAGCCCATCGTCACCTTGGTAAGGTCGGTGAAAATCCAATGTGCAATTAGGCCCTCGCCTTACCGCGGGAACTATATGACGTCAACTAAGGCCCGTATGCACGTACATCCCCGCGGGGAGGGGATGTGCGCTTATTTTTTGAAATGATCCCCGCTGGGGCTCCCTTCCCTTCCCCACGCGAACCCCCGTATGCACAAAAGCAATACCGGAAAGGGGATCCCCTGGAAGTAGGGAAAGGGAACCCCCTTATGCAGAAGGGGGAATCGAGCGGGGGAATCATTTCGCTTCCGCTTTTTGTGGTAATCACTCCTCTTTTCTCATCTTTTGGTAGCTACTCGCCTCCAGCATGTCATCGGCAATATTATACTCGTTGCGGAATACCATCGCTCGTCAGCAAAAAAAATTTCCTACGCACAATATATTTTTGCTGTTTTCAAGGATGTGGCTCACTTTCGCTAATGCTGCACATTTCAGCGTAAAAGTGTCCAAAATTAGAAGTCATGATGTTAACACAGTGAATGAGTAGAATATGTTATGCTGCCGTAAAGGGGGGGGGGGGGAGGGTGCCGCAGACAATCAAACTAGAATTTCCACACATAAAAGAAATTGCAAATCGTGCTAGCTTTTCATGGAAGCTGTAGCTATTAGCGACATGCCGTCCATTCCTCCAAGGGAATAACCCCAACGGCCATCCCTGCTATGCACGAGAGGAATGCTGGGGAAGGGATCACTCCCCAGGGGATCACTACTCAGAATTAGGCAAATCTGTTATTTTCTAGATTTTTGCAAAGCAGCTTATGTTAAAGTAACAACTCAGACAATCACTGGGGGCAGGCGGGCACCGGAAAAATAGATTGCTGATTTCTCGCGCCCCGCTCGCGGATTTTTTGCAAAGCAATCAGGACTTTTCCGAAGACCGCTTGCTGAGTCAGCGGATTTTTGAGAGACCGCCTGTTGAATTTTTTTTTCGCTTTTATCTTTTGCAGATATATTGCTGAATCTCTGAGAAATCGAGAATTCAGCAAGCGGTCTTCCGAAAAGTCCTGATTGCTTTGCAAAAAATCCGCAAGCGGGGTGCGAGAGATCAGCAATCTATTTTTCCGGTGCCCGCCTGCCCCCGGCGATTGTCTGAGAAGGTAGGAGCAATATATCATGTAATACGATAGTTACAATGTATCTAATCAGCCTATCTGGCTAAAACTATAATATTATGTCATTTGAAAAATGCGCAGATTTCTTGAATAATCAAGAATTCCTACGAATATTCGAGAATGGCAGCTAATACTTGGGTTTCTTATCAAGAGGGGAATTTAGAAGAGAGACGATTGCAAGCTACAGGTCGCTAAGAGGGGAATCCGGCTTTCAAAGGAAATCTTTCATCAAATTGAACGAATTGCTTGGTAATAGTTGTTTAAAACCAGAATATTCGCTTCTCTGGCATGATCTACACCATCGAACCCCTACTCCGTTGCAAGGGAGTCGATCCCCTCCCCCGCGCTGTTGAGCTACATTCGTGCATACGGGGAGGGGAGGGGAAGGGATCCCCACCAGGATCCGCCCGATCGATATCCCTGGAATCAAATACCGAATTTGTGGCAGCGAAAGAGAACCGCAAAGAAATGGCTAGCAAGCGTTGAAAAAAAAAGAAACTGCAAAACTGCACACTCATGAATTCTTCTATGAGAAAAGTAAGCCATAACATAATTGAGAGGAAACTGCTAAATAGAATCACACCACTTCAGAAAAGACATTATACTACGACAGCACGTAACAGGTATAAGAAACCATTAGAACCAGTAATAGGGAAAAGAAGAAGACAGCGATGGGGGGAGATACAACGGAAAGGGTGAAAGGAGAAAAAAAAGACTGAGAAAAGGAACAAAGGCACTTGAAATTACTATTCTTGTATATCTCATCCCAAAAGCCATTTAGCACACAGAAAATGGCTGAAAATAGCTTTTTTGGCGAGATGTTCAGATAGCCGTGAGCGATGCGACTACCGCAATGACACCTTCCCCGCTATGCCAAAGGGCAGGGGATAGCTCCCCTCCCCTTTGGCATAGCGGGGTTCAATAAAGGGGATCGCTTCCCTGTGGATCCAGCTCCCCTCCCCTCCCCAGCGGGGATGTACGTGCACACGGGCCCAAGTCTATGTGGAAGCTTGAAATTTTTATTCCCTCTCCCGCCAGACAAAAATAAGAAAAAATGTAGGAGCTGCTGCGAGAGAATTTGCGACATCTTCTGCCATTTCGTTGAAATTTGTGCCGGAAAGATAGAGGACGAAGCAGATAGTGTGCTATCTTCAAAATGACGGCTAGCAGCACACTTCTGCACCGCAACCACTACGTAAATGGTGTAATCCTGATACTGTTCTACGGCCGATCCAAAAACGAATCTAGTGGATTCCGGAACCCACTGAGTAGATTCAACTTGCTAGATTCGGATTATTCTGGAATTTAAAAAGCTAATAGGTTAGCGAACACAGCACGGTCCTTGTGTGATTCTCTCCAACGGTTTCGCGACCCATAGAATGCGAATAGCGGTTCTTTGATGAATGCGGCCGCTAATTTTCCTTGGTGAGAAGCCACTGTTCTTTCCCTTGATAGTGTACTGTTATCTTTGGAGCATCTCTACAATTGCTAGTCAGCATTGTCGCAATATTGAATCTTCTTTAAAGCTCTGTTTTTGCAAGTCTTTTGCACTTTGTTGCTTATGTCGATCAGTTCCTTCAGCTTCAAATTCACAAGACAAATGCGTTGGTCATGCAAAAAAAAAACAGGCACGACTTACTTGCGCAATTTCTTATCAATGACTGCGACATGCGCAGCATACAAGTGTGTTTGATCACTTAGATTGCTTGAGGTGGATGGCAAAGGCGCAGAGCAAATGCGCGCGTGCGACTGTTCTGCGGTAAGCTGCCTGTTGTCACTCTGGGAGCTAACGCGGATTTGGCAACCTAACGTGAGGTATACCAACCTTCAGCATCCATGGATACCATAGCGGGGTAGATTATTGCCGGGTCAAATGATTTGTAATTTAAATGGGAGAAAAGGAAGACCTATTCCTTTTCCGTTGTATACTTTGTATACCAGAAATGAATTGACCTTGTGCCTATCAACCAGTCGAAATAGTTGACCAACGTCTCATCGCCAAGTAATCGTCGCGAAGCGAAAAGAAGACAAACTACAGAGACGAGCCCACGCATTCCACCTCCGTCCAGACATAGAGGCAACAGACCAGATGTGCATTTGCGGCCTCGTACGATATTGATTGGTGTCTACAAATATAATTAGCTTGAAACATTGCAATCATTGTAACAGTAATACTAGTACCTGCTCACACATTTCCTCGTGTATTATATCAGCGTAGTCTAAGAACGCGTTGTATTTGCATATGCATTTATCACAAACTGTTCCGTTATCGACGCGGTCCCTGAGAGTCCTTCTTCCATAATCGTCTTTGTAGAGAGATTCGGGATTGGCACCTGGCTATGCATATAAGATAACAAACATCAGCGTCGCACCTCACCTACAACTCCCCACCTAATGTCAGGAGAAGTCGAGCTTCTGTGATAGTCGCTTGCGGAGCCGCCCAGATGTCGTGCAGCTTTGCGGACATCTTAGAAAGACATTGACGATTTGACTGAGAAATGCATGCAAAGAAATGAAAGTTCTAACCTGCTGCTTTGTTGCGCTCTTCAAAAATGTTATCAAGGAATCCACCCGCTGCAACTTCTTATTGGCGCTGAGCTTATGCGCACACGACAATCGAGGCATAATGACCTGCAAAGAGATTTGTAATGAATTAATCATGCAAATTTAGCCGAAGCGAGTATAAACGGCGGTGGCTTGGCAGAACGCTATTTCAAGTTTTTCTATCAGTGTTCCAATATGGTGAGTCCAAGGCTGCGCTTAAACGTCTGAGCATATCAAAAAATAACTTTCTCGGCATTTTGAACGTGAAGACCTTTGAAGGGGAGAGATAGGAGTATAAGTGCGATAGGAGCCGGGTGAAGGGGGTCTCCGCTACTCCCATCTTTGTAGGGTGAAGGGGGTAAGGGAGCCGTGAAAGCAAAATATTCTAACAAGCTACACACCATTTAAAAGCTGAGATCACGGAGAATCGAATATCGAGGTAGTTTATCAACTGTTTCAGTTGCTCTCTTTCTGCTCTCTTATCGCAATGCGATGAAAGCTACGGAAAAGTAGACGCCATATTTTTATTGATGAAGACCTGCTTTGTAATATAGGTGGATTTCAGCTGTAGCTAGTTCATCGTTGGGCAAAAACCTGCTGTCAAAAATGAACATAATTTTAGCTGAAATGCTGCGTATTTCTCAATAGAGTAAGACTAGAAAACGTAGACGGTCTATACGTCGAATCTCTGTTTCCTAAACCTTCGAATGGTATATAGAATGTGGGGTTAAAAAACATGGCAGTTCTTAGGACTGAGGTGGAGATATTTACTATTAGCTTGCTCCATCCGGCTCCTTCAATGTATTGGCTTTTACGGGTCACCGGAGCAAACGTTTTTTTTTGAGGCTGGGAAGCTCAATGCTTCAACAAGCTATATACCATTCGAAAGCTGAGGTTATGGAGAGAAGACATGGACCGTCTACTATTTTCTCTCTCTTCTTGGCAGTAAGATATGAGGATTTATCTAACCGATAGAGCTACTGATTCACTTTTACTGACAAAAAATGCGTTTAATCCCTTTCTTTCCTCAAAAAGTAATTCTACTAACGTAATCATTCACTACTAATAGTAATTACTGCTATCACACTGAGGTGTTTTCGCAGTCTTTAGCAAGACATTTTTGATTTAAAGAGCATCGACGACCATAGATATAGACTTACTTATATAGTTGGTATAGATATAGACTTACTTATTTAGTTGGTTTTTTTCTAGCTTCTCTTACAAGCAAATGCGTCTATCTGTTTGTCTATCTCAAAAATGTGACAAGCCTTAGGAAATCCTACGACCTGGAAATAATAATGTTGAAAATTTTTTTCAAAAAAAGTGCTATAGGCCGTCCGCGCTGTGCTCGGAAAGCAACGCTGTTGCGTCCATTCGAGGCAGTTCGTGACTGCAGGAGGCGCAGAGAAAACAGGCAGCGAGAGTGCACGAATGAAGAGGAGTGATGCGCAATACACACCTTGCGCACTCTCCGCGCCCTGTGCGGACGGCCTTTAGCAAACAAGCATCAACATCATTTATTTCCAAGCTATTTTTACTTCTCGAACTTAGTTGAATTTTTTATGCTACTGTAACTACTGTAGACGCCTTCGAAATAATGCGAAAAAGCAACTACTGTAATAATTCTCATTGTATTTGATAAACATACTTCTGTTGTGTTTCGAGGTAAATCTGCAACAGCTTTTTGATCATGATTCATTATTCACTCTCAAATTACTTTCCCAAATCAGCCTCAGGTGAAGGGGGGTCATCACTATACTTGGGGAAATTCAAAATTTTTTTTCGAGTATTCGAATATCGAATATATTCGAAAACTGAAAATTTCGAATATTCGACTACCGAATATTATTCGAAAATTGAAAATTTCGAATATTCGACAACCGAATATTATTCGGAAATAGAGATCTTCGAATCGAATAATATTCGAATATCGAATATGATTCGTTATTCGAATTTCGAATATTATTCGTTTCTCAAAAATTATTCGATTTTCGAATATCATTCGATTTTCGAATACTATTTGAATAATGTCAGTCAGAGTGCCTATGAAAGACAAAACATCTAAGAATTAATTAGTTCGTGTAAGTATCAAAAAGAGGTACTTTTTTATGTCACAATTTACGATGAAGGAACGGTTTAGTGGTGACGTGATTAAACTCAAAAAACTAAAAGCGTACTCCTTTGTGATGTAGTGAAGATTTTTCGAACTTTAAAGAAGTTTATATATTCTCATTAAGAGTTGTGAATCGATATACAGGATGCCCCAAAAGTATATGGACAATATTTGATCATTAAATTTCCTCCCACATCTTTCGCCGAAATTAGTTACTATTCTGTAGTTCTGCTTCAACTTAAATAAGTATGAATCAATTCATTAATCGCACTTCACTGCTGTAAGATTGTCTTAGCTAAACTGAGGAGAATTTCGGGATTTTGGCGGCCACATTTTGCTTGCGAAGGAAACAAAAAAACCAGAAGCGACGCTTAGGCTATTCAAAGTTACTTAGAATATTGCGACGCTTAGGCTATTCAAAGTTACTTAGAATATTCTTAGAACATTCTTTATGGATTCTAATGCGCTTCCCGCAGCGCCGGGATATTAATGAAGGGATGTCCCAGCGTCGAAATACAAGGAGAATGACAATACGCGGAGCCCGAGTAATAGGCAGAAAAGAAAAGCTTTGGTCGAGGCTGCCGAAGACAACATCGAGATGATAGATGACGAAACATATTTGCGCCTTTGAGAACTATGGGAGTAGAACAGCGCATTAAGGATGTCATCGTTTTTTGTAGATTGTTTGATTCTCTGTTCATGATTGTGACTATTTTTTATGTATATTCTGGACACAGAAGATAAATGAGAATACAAAATTTGGGGTATATGTCAAGAATAACTATAGCTGGCAATAGTGGCACACTGAATGCCCGGGTATCATTGAATGATGTACAGGTAGCACCGTCCCAGCAGCTTACAAGCTCACGCAAGCACTGCATTTTGTAGAAGTAAATGCTCGAAGCATTGTTATTCTTTATTTATGTTTTATGCTGAAGGTTCCGCTATTTTCTAAAGATGGAAATAATCAGCAATCATATCGCTATAAACATGCAATAGATGTGGTTTGAGCTTAGTTTAGCGTGTGATACATGTAAGCTTCTACTATAGATGTAGGAAACGAACTTCAATGAAAAGACCTGAATTCATCATTTTTCTTAACTTCATGGGTTGAGTATGGGCGGCTTTTCTGCGCGCGCGAGCACTTGGCAGCTAGCGGTTGGCGGAGCTATCGATTCTTGACCGCCACTCCAAAATTTGCACCCAGCTGTAACGCTT